GGTGTAGTGTGGTGGCTCTAACAACAGTAGCTGTATGGTGTAGTGTGGTTTATCTAGCAACAGTATCCTGTATGGTGTAGTGTGGTGGCTCTAACAACAGTAGCCTGTATGGTGTAGTTGGGTTAATCTAACAACTGTAGCTGTATGGTGTAGTGTGATGGCTTTAACAACAGTAGCTGTATGGTGTAGTGTGGTTAATCTAACAACAGTAGCTGTATGATGTAGTGTGGTGGCTCTAACAACAGTAGCTGTATGGTGTAGTGTGGTTTATCTAGCAACAGTAGCCTGTATGGTGTAGTGTGGTGGCTCTAACAACAGTAGCCTGTATGGTGTAGTGTGGTTAATCTAACAACAGTAGTCTGTATGGTGTAGTGTGGTGGCTCTAACAACAGTAGTCTGTATGGTGTAGTGTGGTTGATATAACAACAGTAGCTGTATGGTGTAGTTTGGTTAATCAAACAACAGTAGCTGTATGGTGTAGTGTGGTGGCTCTAACAGCAGTAGCCTGAATGGAGTAGTGTGGTTGATCTAACAACAGTAGCCTGTATGGTGTAGTTTGGTTAATCTAACAACAGTAGCTGTATGGTGTAGTGTGGTGGCTCTAACAACAGTAGTCTGTATGGTGTAGTGTGGTTGATATAACAACAGTAGCTGTATGGTGTGGTGTGGTTGATCTAACAACAGTAGCTGTATGGTGTAGTGTGGTTGATCTAGCAACAGTAGCCTGTATGGTGTAGTGTGATGGCTTTAACAACAGTAGTCTGTATGGTGTAGTGTGATTGATCTATCAACTAAGTAGACTGTATGGTGTAGTGTGGTGGCTCTAACAACAGTAGCCTGTATGGTGTAGTGTGGTTGATCTAACAACAGTAGCTGTATGGTGTAGTGTGGTGTCTCTAACAACAGTAGCCTGTATGGTGTAGTGTGGTTGATCTAACAACAGTAGCCTGTATGGTGTAGTGTGATGGCTTTAACAACAGTAGTCTGTATGGTGTAGTGTGATTGATCTATCAACTAAGTAGACTGTATGGTGTAGTTTGGTTAATCTAACAACAGTAGCTGTATGGTGTAGTGTGGTTGATCTAACAACAGTAGCCTGTATGATGTAGTGTGGTGGCTCTAACAACAGTAGCCTGTATGGTGTAGTTTGGTTGATCTAACAACAGTAGCTGTATGGTGTAGTGTGGTTTATCTAGCAACAGTAGCCTGTATGGTGTAGTGTGGTGGCTCTAACAACAGTAGCCTGTATGGTGTAGTTGGGTTAATCTAACAACTGTAGCTGTATGGTGTAGTGTGATGGCTTTAACAACAGTAGCTGTATGGTGTAGTGTGGTTAATCTAACAACAGTAGCTGTATGGTGTAGAGTGGTTGATCTAACAACAGTAGCCTGTATGGTGTAGTGTGGTGGCTCTAACAACAGTAGCTGTATGGTGTAGTGTGATGGCTTTAACAACAGTAGCTGTATGGTGTAGTGTGGTTGATCTAACAACAGTAGCTGTATGGTGTAGTGTGGTTGATCTAACAACAGTAGCCTGTATGGTGTAGTGTGGTGGCTCTAACAACAGTAGCTGTATGGTGTAGTGTGGTGGCTCTAACAACAGTAGCCTGAATGGTGTAGTGTGGTTGATCTAACAACAGTAGCCTGTATGGTGTAGTGTGGTTTATCTAACAACAGTAGCCTGTATGGTGTAGTGTGGTGTCTCTAACAACAGTAGCCTGTATGGTGTAGTGTGGTTGATCTAACAACAGTAGTCTGTATGGTGTAGTGTGGTTTATCTAACAACAGTAGCTGTATGGTGTAGTGTGGTGGCTCTAACAACAGTAGCCTGAATGGAGTAGTGTGGTGGCTCTAACAACAGTAGCTGTATGGTGTAGTTTGGTTAATCTAACAACAGTAGCTGTATGGTGTAGTGTGGTTGATCTAGCAACAGTAGCCTGTATGGTGTAGTGTGATGGCTTTAACAACAGTAGTCTGTATGGTGTAGTGTGATTGATCTATCAACTAAGTAGACTGTATGGTGTAGTGTGGTGGCTCTAACAACAGTAGCCTGTATGGTGTAGTGTGGTTGATCTAACAACAGTAGCTGTATGGTGTAGTGTGGTGTCTCTAACAACAGTAGCCTGTATGGTGTAGTGTGGTTGATCTAACAACAGTAGCCTGTATGGTGTAGTGTGATGGCTTTAACAACAGTAGTCTGTATGGTGTAGTGTGATTGATCTATCAACTAAGTAGACTGTATGGTGTAGTTTGGTTAATCTAACAACAGTAGCTGTATGGTGTAGTGTGGTTGATCTAACAACAGTAGCCTGTATGATGTAGTGTGGTGTCTCTAACAACAGTAGCCTGTATGGTGTAGTTTGGTTGATCTAACAACAGTAGCTGTATGGTGTAGTGTGGTGGCTCTAACAACAGTAGCTGTATGGTGTAGTGTGGTTTATCTAGCAACAGTAGCCTGTATGGTGTAGTGTGGTGGCTCTAACAACAGTAGCCTGTATGGTGTAGTTGGGTTAATCTAACAACTGTAGCTGTATGGTGTAGTGTGATGGCTTTAACAACAGTAGCTGTATGGTGTAGTGTGGTTAATCTAACAACAGTAGCTGTATGGTGTGGTGTGGTTGATCTAACAACAGTAGCTGTATGGTGTAGTGTGGTTGATCTAACAACAGTAGCCTGTATGGTGTAGTGTGATGGCTTTAACAACAGTAGTCTGTATGGTGTGGTGTGGTTGATCTAACAACAGTAGCTGTATGGTGTAGTGTGGTGGCTCTAACAACAGTAGCCTGAATGGTGTAGTGTGGCTGATCTAACAACAGTAGCCTGTATGGTGTAGTGTGGTTTATCTAACAACAGTAGCCTGTATGGTGTAGTGTGGTGTCTCTAAACAGTAGCCGTAGGGTAGTGTGGTGACTAACAGCGTAGCTGTATGATGTAGTGTGTTGATCTAACCAGTAGCTGAATGGAGTAGTGTGGTTGATCTAACAACAGTAGCCTGTATGGTGAGTTGGTTAATCTACAACAGTAGCTGTATGGTGTAGTGTGGTTGATCTAGCACTAGTAGACTGTATGGTGTAGTTTGGTTAATCTAACAACAGTAGCTGTATGTGTGTGTGGTTGATCAACAACAGTAGCTGTATGGTTAGTGTGGTGTCCTCTAACCAACAGTAGCCTGTATGATGTCGTGTGGTTGATCTAACAAAAGTAGCCTGTATGGTTGTGTGTGGTTGATCTAACAACTGTACTGTTGGAGTAGTGGTGGCTGTAACACAGTAGCCGTATGTGTGGTGTGTGGCTTAACAACAGTACCTGATGGTGTAGTGTGGTTGATCTAACAACAGTAGCCGTATGGTGTAGTGTGGTTGATCTAACAACAGTAGCCTGTATGGTGTAGTGTGGTGGCTCTAACAACAGTAGCCTGTATGGTGTAGTGTGGTTGCTCTAACAACAGTAGCTTTATGGTGTAGTGTGGTTGATCTAACAACAGTAGCTTTATGGTGTAGTGTTGTTGATCTAACAACAGTAGCCTGTATGGTGTAGTGTGGTGTCTCTAACAACAGTAGTTGTATGATGTAGTGTGGTGGCTTTAACAACAGTAGCTGTATGGTGTAGTGTGGTTGATCTAACAACAGTAGCCTGTATGGTGTAGTTTGGTTGATCTAACAACAGTAGCCTGTGTGGTGTAGTGTGGTTGATCTAACAACAGTAGCCTGTATGGTGTAGTGTGGTGGCTCTAACAACAGTAGCTGTATGGTGTAGTGTGGTTATTCTAACAACAGTAGCCTGTATGGTGTAGAGTGGTGGCTCTAACAACAGTAGCCTATCTGTGTTTGTAGGCTAGGCCTCCTTTTTTACAATTGTATAATTGTCCTTTTATTATTGTTTTGACAATTGATTTAAGAGGAAAATTGATTTACCAGTAGCTAATATGAAACCCATTATAGAAAGCCTCAGACCAGACTCTTATTTATTGTCCATTTGTTCACAGCAGCAGTCTGATGAGTCATCTGACCTCTCTTGATTGTTATTCTTTTTAACTTGATTGATTCTGTTGCTGTTTACGATTTTAACGTTCCTCTGATTAAATAATGTCATTGTATTGTAACTATTAGTCCAGATGGCTCTCTGATCTGGTTTATCCTCTGTCTCCACATCAGTCATCAGAGGATTGCCTGCTCGTCCATTCCCTTCTACAGGACATATGGGCTGATTGGGCTCCCCACCCCACTAGGATCCACAAATGTTAATAAAAGCAATACATGCAGGGATTTGGCGGCAGGTAGCTTAGCGGTTAAGTCTGTTGGGCAAGTAATTGAAAGGCCGCTGGTTCGAATCCCGAACTGATTAGGGGGGAAATCTGTCGATGTGCCCTTGAGCAAAGGCACTTAACCCAAATTGCCCCCTGTAAGTGGCTCTGCATAAGAGTTTCTGCTTAATGACTGACATGTACATGCACTACAGGTTAGACACCACAGCTGCTGGAATAGAGACGACAAGCACCATAGTTAAACGATAGAAGGAGCTGTCCTCATTTCCGTGTGTGTAAAGGTAAAACCCCCGTTGGTTTTTATCTTGTTTTATTTTCTCTCCTTCAGACACACTTTATTTTGTCAGAAATACTCATCTTACGAAACTAACCCTGTCCAAGTTTCTAAGGAATTTTTATCTCCAAAAGTAGGGCAGTAAAATAATTACTTAAATTAAAAAAATAAAAACCGGAAGAAAGGAAGGTAGAAATACTTTGCTATCCATTAATGGGTTTGTTTGATACACATTGTAAATGATAAATTGACTTATTGTACTCTTTCTCCTTACTAATAAATTATCTTTGTTAAATTTCTCTGTTTTTATTCTGTATCCTCTTTGTGTGGACGGTAATGAATAATGTGAACAGGCAGGGGGTAATAATGTCCATCCAAACTTTAAATGGAAAAAAACCCTGGGAAGTTAAAACTAAATGTTACCACTGTTCCAGTGATTGTGTCCTCTCTCCCCCATACAGGCACCCCGTACCGGGAGGGACAGGAGCGGGACTTGAAGGTGGCTCTGAGAGGCACAGATCCCTCCATCCCTCTGGTGTTTGTCAGTGGGAACCATGACCTGGGTAACACACCCACTCCGGAGACTGTAGCCCAGTTCTGCAACGCCTGGGGAGACGACTACTTCAGCTTCTGGGTGAGTGGCTAGAGTGAGATGAAAACGTACTGTAGATGGGGATTGTACAAAACCCTTTCAGTTCCTTATATAAACACTGGTCCTTGGAGCCGGATAGGAAACAATTGGCCTCTAACAAAAACTAACGCTTTTATCCAACATTAATTACTACTGTAATTGTATATTACATTTACATTTTAGTCATTTAGCAGACGCTCTTATCTAGAGCGACTTACAGTTAGTGAGTGCATACATTTTCATACCGCCCCCCCGTGGGAATCGAACCCACAACCCTGGCGTTGCAAGCGCCATGCTCTACCAACTGAGCTACACTGGGCCATATTCTACGTGTAGCCGAAGCTGAAAGCAAAGCCAATACCTTGACATTGCAAACTACCATGTTCTAAACAGCTGAGTCACCAACACTAAAGTACTACACAGGAGTGATGTCATAGTCCTGAGACTACTGTCTCTGATCAGATCAGTTGTAATGATGTGGCTGCTTTAAAGGCATTAATGGGCACCATGGCGATGCCATAATGACATTATCTAAATTACCTTAACCTATACTGTAATCCCAAGCCTGTCATTTTCAGGTTGGAGGGGTGCTGTGTCTGGTGCTGAACTCCCAGCTGTTCTTTGATGCGTCGGCCTGCCCTGATCTGAGAGACGCCCAGGAGGCCTGGCTAGAGGGCCAGCTGCAGAGGGCATCTCAGGGGCCCGGGGTCACCCCCAAACACGTCCTGGTGTTCCAGCACATCCCTCTGTACTTGAAGACCCCCGACGAGGATGACGACTACTTTAACCTGCAGACCGCCACGAGGCAGAGCCTCATAGGCAGGTTCAAACAGGCAGGTAGGTCATTTAACTTGATTTAACCTTTATTCAGGGGGGATTCTAACTTCCACTAAAAAACGTATTTTCACTTCATGCATTGATGTCAATGGTAGACTTAGTGAAAATTCAATATCAGTGGAAGTTAGGATTCGCCCCACAACCTTTACTTAGCAGGTAGGAAGTGGTCTCCTTCTGTTTTGTGCTTAGTGAACACAACCCTCACATCAGGGAGAGATGGGATTAGTGTGTCAACAGGTTTACCACAGGATGAGTCACAGTGAGGAGGACCAAGGAGGAACACCCCTTGACTTTTTCCACATTGTGTTGTGTTACAGCCTGAATTTAAAATGGATTAAGTTGAGATTTTGTCACTGGCCTACACACAATACCCCATAATGTCAAAGTGGAATTATGTTTTTCAATATTTTTGCAAGTGAATTAAAAACAAAAAGCTGAAATGTCTTGAGTCAATAGGTATTCAACCCCTTTGTTTATGGCAAGCCTAAATATGTTCAGGAGTATAAAAATGTGCTTAAGTCAAATACGTTGCGTGGACTCACTCTTTGAAAATACTACTGTAATTTTGTATTGTAACACAACAAAATATGGAATAATTCAAGGGGTATGAATACTTTCTGAAGGCACTTAATTTAATCCATGCTCAAAAGAATACAAAAGGTGAAAGTGCAAAGTGCTAAACAAAAAAAGGAGCATACGTTTCAGCTTTTACTTCTTCATCAGTGCTGTACAAACTAATTAAAATGACACCTGTGTGTCTTCTTAAGTATGTGTGTCATTTTAATTAGTTTGTATTATTTTGAGCATGGATTAAATTAGAAATATTTTGCATCTTGGCCTCCTTGTTTTTTCCTTCTCATAGCTTGAGTGTGAGCACATTTTTAACTCAACAGATATGTTTTCTCTCAGGCACCGGCCACCATTCATTCTAGCCTCTCATTCTGGATTTCAGCACTTCTATTCAGGAACAGATTGTGTAAGATTTAAATAATGTTTTCAGGTTCTGCTCTTTTTACCAACATGTGAAGCTCATATGAAAGGAAGATCAAGTTCAACTCATCCACACTAATATTTCCACAGCTGTTATGCTAGTACAGCGATAGATTAGAGCCTAGGGCATGAGAGCGTTAACTATCACACTCATACCCTTGTCCACTTAGAGCTCTTACAAGTACAGTACAGTAATATAACACACATAGTTTACATCACTGAGAGAACATTGGCTATGTTGTCTACTGTAATGTATGAGGCTACCATTTTCTCTACTGTAATGTACGAGGCTACCATATTGTCTTCTGTAATGTACGAGGCTACCATATTGTCTTCTGTAATGTACGAGGCTACCATATTGTCTACTGTAATATACGAGGCTACCACTTTGTCTACTCTACTGTAATGTACAAGGCTACCATATTGTCTACTGTAATGTACGAGGCTACCACTTTGTCGACTCTACTGTAATATACGAGGCTACCATTTTGTGTACTCTACTGTAATATACGAGGCTGCCATATTGTCTACTCCACTGTAATGTACAAGGCTACCATGTTGTCTACTGTAATGTACGAGGCTACCATATTGTCTACTCTACTGTAATGTACGAGGCTACCATATTGTCTACTGTAATGTACGAGGCTACCACTTTGTCTACTCTACTGTAATATACAAGGCTACCATTTTGTGTACTCTCTGTAATATACGAGGCTACCATATTGTCTACTCCACTGTAATGTACAAGGCTACCATAGTCTACTGTAATGTACAAGGCTACCATGTTGTCTACTGTAATGTACGAGGCTACCAAATTGTCTAATCTACTGTAATGTATGAGGCTACCATATTGTTTACTGTAATGTACGAGGCTACCACTTTGTCTACTCTACTGTTATGTACGAGGCTACCATGTCTACTCTACTGTAATGTACGAGGCTACCATTTTGTCCACTCTACTGTAATGTACGAGGCTACCATATTGTCTACTGTAATGTACGAGGCTACCATATTGTCTGCAGCTGGAGCTCATCTATTCTGAGACAATTGTCTGTTCTGTCCTGCAAGCATAGATCTATGATCAGCCTCCTCTCTCTCTCTGTTAGCAGGAGAAGTGCTGCTATTCCTATCATTCCTAATCATCAGGGTCAGATACTGGTTAGGGTCTCTCAGCTATTGTTTACACAGTGTTTTATATGTTTTGTTCTATCTGCATTATACAGCAGTAGGCAGGCAGGCAGGCTGCAGTGTTTTTTTGGTACTAAGACTCCAAAGGAAATATTGAGTTTTTAGAAAAACTTTGTTCCTGTTATTGGAAAATTGGAGATGTGTATATGAAGCGTTTTTCACTGCAGGGCATGATGCAGGCGTCTGCTAAAAATATCCCAACCGACCAAGCCGAAACACATTTCAAAATACAGTGCCTTTTAGAAAGTATTCCCTTGACTTTTGTTGTGTTAATCCCACCACCCAAGCCCCCAGTACTGGAGAGCAAACAGGTGACCTCTATAGCGCAGTGATGAAGTAGAGATGTAGAGTATTATCTAAGCCTGTGTAAAGAAGTTTTCTTATGCTTTAGGTACACATGTAGACTGTAACCTGACATTTGGTGTAACCTTGTTTGGGTTGCGTATCAATGCCACAGATGTATTGGGCTTCTACAGCCGGTTCCAATCTTAGAGAAAAAATGCTTTATAGTTTGAGCGCTACCATACAGTTTCTTCAGAAAGTATTCACACCCATTGCCTTTTTCCACGTTGTTGTGTTACAGCCTGAATTTAAAATGGATTAAATCAAGATTTTTTTGGTGACTGGCCTACACAAAATACCCCATAATGTCAAAGTGGAGTTATGTTTTTTGAAACGTTTACAAATTAATTAACAATGCAGACAGGCAGAGAGTACGCATAAACCTCAGAAGAACCGGAGAAGAGGACCCATTCCCGGGCAGCACACCACCCGGTGCAAGTTGAAAGCAAGTGTTGAAACTCTGGACTTGTTCATTAACACAGGCAGTCCGAGGAGCCGTCACACCGGACACAGAGTGACCCACCCGTTACCTGAGAGGCCTTTCAGTTGTATTTCTCCCCTCCCCGTTCCCCCCAACCTTTATTTAAGAACAACTTTAGTTTGATCACCACAAAACGGTCTCCAGCTGTCTTTGATTTTATTGTATTTCACCTCTGACTCCCCTGGGCTGCCACACTACCTCATCTCTGTACCCCACACATACAAATTTTTTATTTTTTTATTTAACCTTTATTTAACCAGGTAAGCCAGTTGAGAACAAGTTCTCATTTACAACTACGACCTGGCCAAGATAAAGCATAGCAGTGCGATAAAAACAACAACACAGAGTTACATATGGGGTAAAAAAACATAAAGTCAAAAAATACAACAGAAAATATATATACAGTGTGTGCAAATGTAGCAAGATATGGAGGTAAGGCAATAAATAGGCTATAGTGCAAAATAATTACAATTAGTATTAACACTGGAATGCTAGATGTGCAAGAGATTATGTGCAAATAGAGATCCTGGGGTGCAAAATAAATAACAATATAGGGATGAGGTAGTTGGGTGGGCTAATTTCAGATGGGCTGTGTACAGGTGCAGTGATCGGTAAGGTGCTCTGACAACTGATGCTTAAAGTTAGTGAGGGACATAAGAGTCTCCAGCTTCAGAGATTTTTGCAATTCGTTCCAGTCATTGGCAGCAGAGAACTGGAAGGAATGGCGGCCAAAGGAGGTGTTGGCTTTGGGAATGACCAGTGAGATATACCTGCTGGAGCGCAGACTACGGGTGGGTGCTGCTATGGTGACCAATGAGCTAAGATAAGGCGGGGATTTGCCTAGCAGTGATTTATAGATGGCCTGGAGCCAGTGGGTTTGACGACGAACATGTAGTGAGGACCAGCCAACAAGAGCGTACAGGTCACAGTGGTGGGTAGTGTATGGGGCTTTGGAGACAAAACGGATGGCACTGTGATAGACTACATCCAATTTGCTGAGTAGAGTGTTGGAGGCTATTTTGTAAATGACATCGCCGAAGTCAAGGATCGGTAGGATAGTCAGTTTTACAAGGGCATGTTTGGCAGCATGAGTGAAGGAGGCTTTGTTGCAAAATAGGAAGCCGATTCTAGATTTAACTTTGGATTGGAGATTCTTAATGTGAGTCTGGAAGGAGAGTTTACAGTCTAACCAGACACCTAGGTATTTGTAGTTGTCCACATACTCTAGGTCAGACCCGTCGAGAGTGGTGATTCTAGTCGGGTGGGCGGGTGCCAGCAGCGTTCGATTGAAGAGCATGCATTTAGTTTTACTAGTGTTTAAGAGCAGTTGGAGGCCACTGAAGGAGTGTTGTATGGCATTGAAGCTCGTTTGGAGGTTTGTTAACACAGTGTCCAATGAAGGGCCAGATGTATACAAAATGGTGTCGTCTGCGTAGAGGTGGATCTGAGAGTCACCAACAGCAAGAGCGACATCATTGATATACACTGAGAAAATAGTCAGCCCAAGAATTGAACCCTGTGGCACCCCCATAGAGACTGCCATAGGTCCAGACAACAGGCCCTCCGATTTGACACACTGAACTCTATCTGAGAAGTAGTTGGTGAACCAGGCGAGGCAGTCATTTGAGAAACCAATGCTATTTAGTCTGCCAATAAGAATGCGGTGGTTGACAGAGTCGAAAGCCTTGGCCAGGTCGATGAAGACGGCTGCACAGTACTGTCTATTATCGATCGCGGTTATAATATCGTTTAGGACCTTGATATTTCTGTATTTCATTTTCAATACATTTGCAAACATTTATATAAACATGTTTTCACTTTGACGTAGATGGGTGAGGGAAAATCAATTTAATCCATTTTGAATTCAGGCTGTAACACAACAAAATGTGGAATAAGTCAAGGGCTATG